CTGCAGGAAAAGTAAGGGGCCAGATAGCATTAAGAGATGGCCCTAAAAAATTACTCACAAAATACAAAAGGAGGTATTACTTTTCAAAACATAGATGATACACACAATATGAACAAATCTCATCTTTCAACAAATGTTTTCATTAGTAACAATTCTATGAACTTGTTATGATGCCAAATCATTTTTAATAGATTTATGAGGACCTGAAACATCAATTTACTGTGGTAAACAAAATACTTTATGTCTAGAAGTCATCTGAAATAGTCACAATCCAAAATAAATTGAAAAATGCACTATACAATCTATAGGAATAATTCAAATTAGGAGACAATAAAAAGGGTATCTTTGCTGCCCAAATCCTAAATGGTCTATTCCTAATTAGTGGTAGAACAGGATCTGTGTAATGTGAATTGGTCAGGCATGTAAGTGGTGCGATCCTAATGAAATGCCTATTAGCTGCAGAATAAAGATAATATGCTGGAAGCTTCTATCTGATACTGACTGAAATGTTTCTAGAATAACACCGATTTTTTGAAGAATATTCTTTGGCCATTGAAGTTTTCTTTTAATTAAACAGGATTTTTTTTCTTTGAATATTTAAACACCAAAAACCATTTATTTCAAGATATACTGGAAAAAAACCAACATTCTTATCAGTGACAGATATGATAGAAAGAAGGGCTAATTGAAACTGTATTATTGAAGGAATATTTATCTTAAAACTTAATGGACTCAAAAGCAAAGATACACATCAAAAGAGTCATTTAATACTTCCTATTCAGACTCAAAAGAAGCTGAGCATAGAGTTGGAAAGTCAAAGCATTTGAATGTCTGCTTATTTTTCTATTCACAACTTTCTCACATGACTTTAATCCCTTTTGGGAAGATGACTTTGAATAACCCTTTTGTTATTTTAATTTAGTAAGTTTGAAATGGAAAATTGAAATTGAAGACTTACTTTTAAAACTCAAGAGGTTTGGGGGTATTGTTTGTTTTTTTATTCTAAGGAATTTTAAAAATATAACCTTTACCTTACAAAAAGCAGACATATGATATAAATCCAAATGTTTTATAATACTGCCCTAAGGATTCAGGTAGATTTACATATAAAAGCACTCTATTTTGGTGAAAGTCTTGGGTCAAGTGCAAATAGAGTATAGAGTATGCTTGTTATCACTGGGGTTTATGGACAGCATAACAGAGATGCTCAGACTTTAGTTGTGTTTCTCACTGTTACCATTTGAGTAGGGGCTGTTGTATTGAGACAGGCTCATGAACCATTTCAGCTCAGTGGTCTATGCAGGCAGAAGGCCTAGATGTCTCCTTAAAAAGATACTTTAACCCTAAATATAGGTCAACATTCCCTACTTCTTAATACTTTTTCTCTCACCTAATTAAGTAAACCACTGTTAAATCTATTACCAAACAATGCCACTTCAGATTTCAGATTTTAAAATTTATTGCCTAGTGAATCAAGCTTTCTCTCTGTTGTAAAAGCATATCTATGAGACTGAAAATTTTACTAGGACCCCAGCTATGTTTAGCATGACACTTTGTACATAGTAGGTTCTTAATAAATGTATGCCAATTGGCTATTTTGTGATTTGGTTAGGAATGATAAACCGTTTTTGCTTTATCTGAAATTTTGCCTAATGTAGAAACTGCTTATTTGTTTATATTCTCCTATAGTCTGCCTTCATATTCTCAACCAAATTGAAAGATTAGTTACAGCATTTGAGTTTGATTAAATAGTAAGCAATCTTGCTAAACCTCAAAGTCTTTTTGTAATATGAATTCTCATAAAAACATGATATCAATATCACAATTTTGGAACAAAACCACAGGCTGATAAAGAAGAATTCAAAATGATGACATAATTGTTTTATCGAATCATCCATTAAATGTCAGTTTTTCCAAATTTAAAATATCAATTTTGAGACATTAAAATATTACATGAAATGCTTCATAGATATGAATGCCCTTCAGAGAAAATTCAAAAAGTAGCAATACCATTTTCTGTTTCATTCATAAAATATTTTCTGCTGATTTTAAGAATATTTCTCTAAGTGTAAATATAGTATTTCCAAGAATGAAGGGGCTTTAAAATACAATCTAAAAAAAAAAAAATGGACCTAGCTACTTTCGTCTGAGCTATTGATAATTGTCTTTGCAGCTTGGAATCATTTAGAAGATATATTGCTCCTGGTGTGTTAGGTCACCTAGACATACAAGTTCTGTTAATCAGTCATTTTTTTATAAGGGGGCTTCATATGTATTATAACATATATGACATATTCTTAGAATGAGCATGATTTTATGACGTGATTGTAGATTAATAACATCTATAAACTATCTAAGACTTTAAACTACACATTGATGATACTGAATCAGACTGAAAGTAACTTTTTTCATAAGTCAGAATTTCTGTAAGATAGACATTTTTTTCCTCAATTAGCTAATTCATTTGACTCTCAGTTGTTCGTCTACTGTTCACTTTTTAAACAAAGTTAACAAAATGTTTTCATGACCATATCTTTTCAAGAACATTGTTTGAACATATTTAGCCAAAGGTAGACAAATAGGACAATTCATAAACATTATAATACTGTTCTGTTGAAAACTGTGATTCATTAGGACAAGACATTTATTAATTTGAATTTCATAGCTACTTTCAAAACAAGAATTGGAGGAATCTGATGACATTCTTACTGAGAGACAATTCAGAATATATGTATTTACTTTCTATTGAACATATCAGAAAAAGTGTTGCACTAAATAATAAAAATTATGCCTAAAAATCTTGATTTTCTCCAAAATCATAGCAAAAATAAAAAATAAAAATAAAAAAGTAATCAGCAGAAAAACATTCCAAAGGCAAAGCAAAGTTCTTCTCTGGGCTTCTCATCTAAGAAGACACATGATAAATTATACTTATTTTTCATTGGGTTGGTGCAGAAGTAATTGTTGTTTTTGCCACTACTTTCAATGGCAAAACTACAAGTACTTTTGTGCCAACCTAATAGGTTAATGTAGGTGACAATGTTTAGTTTGGCCTAATTCATATGTTAATGGTCTACCTGATGCACTGGGGATCAAGGCACACTACAATCATCAGATCCACTCCAGCGTCTTGACTACTTATTTCTTAGAATATACTTACAAATACATAAAAAATAGTGTAATACCATGTGGTCAGCTAAGATACTGTTATTAATAGCATTTCCTGTTAAAATTCTGGAATCCAGCAATTTCATGTTACATGCACACATTGTTCTACCAAAAGCACACAGATAATTTAAGCAATTGTATAGAAAATGCAAATCAAATACAAATCGAATTGCCTCAATTAGCCCCTTTGTGTGGACTTTGGAGATGAAAGCCAAGTAATGATGATCTCCACCCTCATAAGCAATATCTACATTTGAGCAAATTTTACCAAAGTAGAAGAGGGAACACAGGCAAGCCATACAGACTTTTAAAATAAACCACATAATTTCCCATCATCTGTAATACTGATCTGAATGCTGGTCCAGAGAAGAACATGATGCAATGCAAAAGGAAAACAAAGGGGTTGACAATCATTTCTGTCAAGATGGCCCCAGGGAAGAGTTACAAGTCTTTCTCAGGAATAACTACACCTTGATTTTCTACCTTTTCCCCAAATCTACATGCTGCTTTTCACGAAATTTAAACTCTCTCTTTCTCTCTCTCTATACATATATACATATATGTGTGTGTGTATATATATCCTATATACATATGTGTGTATTCCATACAGCTAAGCCAAGGAAGACTGTGTATTTTTTTCTTTCTTTTTTTTTTTGACATGAAGTCTCATTCTTATCCCCCAGGCTGGAGTGCAATGGCGTGATCTCGGCTCACTGCAACCTCCGCCTACCGGCTTCAAGCAATTCTCCTGCCTCAGCCTCTCTAGTAGCTGGGATTACAGGTGCCTGCCACCACGCCTGGCTAATTTTTGTATTTTTAGTAGAGACGGGGTTTCACCATGTTGGCCAGGCTGGTCTTGAACTCCTGACCTCAGGTGATCCACCCGCCTTGGCATCCCAAAGTGCTGGGATTACAGGCGTGAGCCACTGTGCCTGGCTGGAAGACTTTGTATTTTGAAGCTACATGTTAAATCAAATACAATCATTCTTTAAGCAAGCATAATAAAGTGAAATGAAATTATTCAGGATGACATTGAGACGAGCAGGCTGGTTGGTTCCCTGTTTTAATATGGGCTGGAGAAAAAGAATAAAAGCCCCTCACTCAAGCTCTAGCTTATCTAACTCTCAGTCAATCAGTAACAAAAATCCCAAGAAGCTCTTAATTGTAAGTTTTTATTTCAGAAGGTTAGGGACTTCCCTGGAGCCACTGCATACACAGTTAGAATTAAACTCCAACCTATAGTTACCCCTTTCTTATTTTAGTGCTAAACATAGTTCCCCGGGGGGAAGATTTAAAATGCTAACGCTACATATGATATATGTAGCATGTTGTGCCACTGCCCAAGCTCTAGAAAGTCCTGATAGAATCCTTCCCTATAGAAAGATCCTATAAAACTAACATACACACTACCCTCATGGAGCATTCCTTTCCCTTTCTCAGTGATGTGTCCCTTGTGCACAAGCTAATAAACTTTATTTTTGTAGCTATAATTGGTAGTTTCTCTTGATTTCCATCCTGGGAGACTGCAAGCGTCCAGTGCACCAGTAACAACATCTGCCGTCACATTTCGATGAGGAGAAAAATGACGCCTATAGTTTCATCTGGTGCATACTTTGACTTCTCTGTGTTTCTTAAGAAGTCAAGTTTCTTTGAACATAGCTATTTAAATCTCTTTCCATGGTTTTGTATTATTAATAGGCATATCAGTTCAACTAACAATTCACAGAAAATAACAGTGTGTCATATTAATATCCACTCAAAGAGTCAAAGGAAAAATATGCTCACTGTCTAGCATTGTTGAAGAAATATTTCACATAAATTAAGCATGCCTG